GGWAAGTTCTCCCTCCTGAGACACCTGGACACTTCTACCTGTGCCGTCCCCCAGAGCRGCAGGATTGGCTGCTGGTCATTGCTCCCTGGGTAACAGCCAGCTAAAGAAACTTAAAATACACGACTAGGTCATCGGTATTTAGTTTCCTTCCAGTGTCAGGCCCTATTGTGTGCATTGTAACTACTTAAAATTAGTATATTCAATCATTATATATAATCATAGACATTATATATATATATATATATATATATATATATTCCCTTTTCCAAGAAAAGAAGGGAAAGGAATCTGACATGAACTCCTACAATATTTAAAGCATCCATGACAGACACAATCACAGAGTTCACACTGTTTAAGCTTTGCAGTCTGCCAGTGAAACAGGTGTTATAATTCCCATTTTAGAGATCAGAAAACTGAGGGTCTGAGATTTGAGTGAGTGGCTCAGAAATTTAGCAAGTAAGTAAGTGGAAGGCTGAGGCTCAAATGCTAAGGGTCTGTGGGGCAGCTAGTCCCCAAGAGGTAGTCCAGAGGACCTGCCTGGTCAGACCCCATATTCCYGCCCATGAGCAGACCCTCCCCACTGGCTCTTGGCTGGCCCAGTGACTGKCACTAAACGATAGGAAGCCGTGGAGGGGAATCTGTGCCAGTTCTAGGTTTGGCCTTGATGGAGACTGGATGCTTGTGCTCCTCTCTCTTTAGATGCCCACTTTTGGAGCCTTTGCTCCTGCTGGAGAGACCCGTGAGGGGGCAAGGACAGATCCCRAGGCTACAGGGAGAGAGAGAGGCCTAGGCCCCCACCTACCTCCCAGTCAGTCACAGCAGCTGTGTGAGGACCGCAAGCCCTGGAAGCAGAAGAGCTGCCCAGACATGCCAGCCAACCCACAGAAGTGTGAGAGAATAAACACGGTGGTTGTTTTAAGCCAGCACGTTTGGGGGAGATTTGTTACTCAGCACTGAGTAACCAGGACTCTTGCGTAAGATGTGCCATTTCCTTCTCYGTTCCCATTGCCCCAGCCTCTTGCACATTGGCCAGTTTTCAGGCCCCTTTTAAGGCTTCCTTAAAATTGCATTACAGAAATAGTGGCCCCTTGCTCTTGCTCCCTTATCCACTCATCTGCCCCAACCAGCCACTCTGAAAGGTGGGAAGCGCTTTTGTGTAGTGGGGAGGGAGATGCACTCAGTGCGTGCGATCAAGTTGCGTCACGACTGTGAGGCTATAAAAGTAAGATTTCTAATGCTGCCCTGTAGGCCCATGGAGGGCTGAAATGAGACTCCGCCAATAGAACACAAGGCACATCCCATGGCGCATGTCAGGCACCCAGCAAAGAGGGTTATGGGAGGGGGGGAACAGGCCAGGAGACTGCTCTCCCCGGGAACATATCCCTCATCCCACTCTCCCCAGATCAGTAAAGATGCAGAACACAGGGGCAGAGCTGTGGGGTCAGGGCTCCTTGGGAAGAGAGCAGTGGCTGCTTCTTGTTGCTCTGATTAGAAAGAGGGAGGACAGACATTTGGCAGAAAGGCATCAGGAGAACCTCCACAGGGCACCCAGCCCCTTTGGGAAAGTGCACCCAACCTGGACCCCAAACAAAAAGATCAACGTGGGGGTCTAAGAGGTCAGTCTGACAGTCACCTCTACATTCCCAGAACTTGGCACACTGCAGGTGTCAGTTCCAGGAAGGCACAGAATTTTTTTTCCTGGTTTATTCCCCACTCTGTTTCCAACCGATAGTAGGTATTCGATAAATTTTTGAATGAATGGATGTGAGGATGAGTGATATTCTGCCTCCAGCTGACATTGTAGTTGCCTATCCCAAGCCATCCCTTCTGTTTCTTTGCTCATAAAAACCAGATTTGAGTGACAACCTGCCACCCCAGAAGAGACCATCAATGAGCTTAAGGAAATTAAGACTGTTCTGTTCCTCTTTGCCAGGGATTGGCCCAAGGATGGTCACCTGATAAAGTTGAGCCAATGGGATTTAAGAGAAAAACTGCTCAAGGCACTCTGGGAAAGATTGTTGTCCAGCATAAAATGAGAAATGTCAAGGGAAAAAAGGCCTCCGTTGTCCCCACCTTGCCTCACTGATTTTTGCACACCACTAGTGAGGACCCAGTTCCTGGAGCAGAGACAGTCATTTGTAACCAAACCTGAAGATCCTAAAAATGAGAAGCCAACCCTTGGAGGATGGCCACGAGGAAGTTGGGAACAGGCACTGACCAGAGAATGACCCAGATGAGCTTGCAAGGGACCCAGGATCTCAAGCTCCAGATGGCTACGTGACTGAGGTAAACGCACATCTTTGGGGTTTCAGCAGATGTCCTGTTACCTGCAGTCAAAGTATCTTCCCTTAATTGCTGATTCCTAATGACATTATTATACACCAACCTTTGTTCCCAGACCAAATTTATTCAGTGAAGCCCCTGACCTACAGGACCTCAACATGTGACCATTTAGAAATGGATTTTTCAAAGGGAGATTGTGTTGAAATGAGGTCATTAGGGTGGGCCCTAACCCATTCTGACTGGTGTCCTCATGAGAAGAGAAAACTTGGACACACAGAGAGAAACCAGGCAGCGCACAAAAGGAAAGATCATGTGAGGACACAGGGCTGAGGGGAGGTGCCGAGGGGAAACCATCCCGTCCATACCTCAATCTTGGTCTTTGAGCCTCCAGAAATGTAAGAAGATAAATTCTTGTAATTTAAGTCACTCGGTCTGTGGTACTTTATTATGACAGCTGGAGCAAACTTATACAGATATCAGTCATTATGATCCACTTATTATCACCACTATTTAAAAAAAAATAGCTTTATCTAACCATGCATTATCCCTGGGTTATGGTGGGAGCCTAAATAAGAGAGCTTATCATTGATATCATAAATGATGCAATAATATCAACCCAAGACTGTTTTCTTGGGGTCTATCCCCCATCAATGAATCTGTCCATTACTTCATTCAGTAAAAATCCAGCCAATATCCCTCATGCCTCAGAGCTGTGTGGCATCATCGGTGTGTACTTTGAAGCCAGGCTACCAGCTTTGCTTTCTAATTCATTCTCTTTGTTGCTGTGACTTGGAGCAAACGGTTGGTTTCTCTGTGTTCTCATTTCTAGAACAGTGCAAGAGGATTCATCTCATGGGTCAGCAGAAGGCCAGAGTGAGATGTGCAGGTAAGGGTTCTGCAAGGAACTTGACTCACAGTACTCTGTGGACAGAGGCTATGGCTTTTCTGAATTTACAAAGAGGGGCAAGGAAGAAAAACATGGTCATGTTTTCACCTGTTTAACTTCGCTGGTGTCCTCCCTACCAGCCCTGTGACAAGGGCATTTCCACCCCAATTTTGCAGGGTAAAGCAAGGCTCCCAAGGGTAATGTGACAGTTATTGCAGTTATTAGATCTCAGGCTGAGATGCAAATCCAGGCCTTCTGATCTCCAAGCCTGGGGCTTTCTCCCACTCAAGGCTACTGCAGCCCAGCCCGGCCCTCAGGGTACGCCAGACATTCACACAAGACGCAGCTCTAACAAGCTAGGAGCAAAAGCCCCCATGAGGACACCCGTGTTTAGACCCAACTGTGGAATAAACTGGCAGGTTATTATTCAGCTTACTGGACACATGGGTCAAAGGGAAGGGTCTTCTAAGAGAATGGGAGAAAAGGGCAATGACATGGATTGATAGCTCTCTGGGGCAGGGTCTTTAGCTAGACCCTTGATTTACAGTGGCCTTGAGACTGATCATCACACCCCGCTTCACAGTTAAGGAAAAGGAGACTCAAAGAGGAAAACCTGACACGGACACACAGAACAGGGATGGACTGGAATTCAAATCTACTACCAGCTCGAACATGCGGCCTCTTTCCCTGGATCAAGGCTTCGCCATGCCTGCTGCACGTGTTAGGTTCATCGGGAGACAGTTTTGACAACGCTGGTAGTTGGCTCCACCTTCAGAGATTCTGAGTCAGGGGGTCTGGGCCGGGGGTCTGAGCCAGGCCCAGCATGGGCACTTTCAACCTCTTGCCGGTGATTGGAATGTGCAGCCGGGCAGGAGGTACAGCGTGCGGGGACACTCAATTCTCAGCCCATTCTCAGCTGCATCAAGGCCAGCACTGAGCCTTTTCTTTCTCTTCAAACAATTTTATTTTATTTTAATTAAATGTATTTTTAACTGATATATCAAACATAAAAATTGCATGTGAACGGGGTTCCATGGGAGGTCTCAACACGTGCACACGCTATGCGATGATTAAATCAGGTACACCACAGCCTTTTTCTCTCTACCCATAGGGAATGGCTGTTCCCCAAGCAATGCGAGTTATGAGTTCATTCTCTTCGCCTGATGCTCACAGAAACTTCAATGTAGACGCACGGCAATGGCATCACGTCAAGATCCGTGAGTATTGGGAAACTCGAGAGTCGGATGCAGTCACTCTTTGCCCTCCTGAGGGGCCAGGAAGCTGGTTTTTTAACTATTCTTCAGTTCCCAAGAAGTCGCTGGTTCCTTGGACTTATGTTTTAAACAGGTATGTGACACGTTTTTATCTTTCCTTCTTGCAAAAAAGAAAAAAAAATGAATTAAGTTGCTTTTTAAACAATTTGTCCTGGGGGAGCATCTGGGCTCCTTTTTAAAAACAAAGCCCAAAACTCCCTTCCCCAACTCTGCAGAAGGCTCTTCCCACGGGGCAGCAGGCGTGCGCGTGACCAGTGTCCTCAGGCGCCTTTGCTGGTCCTCACAGTCCCTTTCTGTTCTGATCATAAACACCTCCAGCACTCGGGATAGATTACTTCAGCCAACTAACTAAGCAGAATGCCCTGCTTTCTCTCCACCATTCAGAAAGGAGCTTTCCTGGGATAAGCCAGAAGTGAAAGGGGAGAGGGAGAGTCGGGGACACACTAACAGGATTAAAGATTAGCCATGGCACATGGCTTGGGAATTGACCTTTGACCGAACATCTTATAAATAACCCCAGCACGGCAGCTTCCCCTGTGAGAGCAGAGACACCAGGCCTTCAGAGGGAGACAAGCGAAGTGGGAGAGAGGGTGGCTTCAGGACCCACCCTGATGTAAAGACCCGCGGGGAGGGAAGACCTGAAGGCAAAGCGGGAGGAGGAGCAGCAGCTCCTGAGTGCACAGAAACCCGTTCCCTGTGCATCCTCGCTCTGCAGCCAGCAGGATGGATTTGATATTTGGCAAGAATAAGAAGGAACAGCTGGAGCCCGTGAAGGCCAAAGTGACAGGTGAGCATTTTGTACCATCTGCTGACTCTGCTTAGACGGACATCTGTTTTCTTTAATGTGAATTCGTTTTGGAAAGTGTGGGAGATATTCTGTAGGGGCAAAATGACCCATAATCTAGACATATTCTCTCTGATGATCTGGGTGTGCTTTTACACATTTTAAGTCCATTTCCAGGGATAGAGAGAGTCCTTCTTCCTATTTCCAGGAAAGGGGTGTTGGGAATGCTCCGGTTCCTCATACGCAAGGGATCAGGCTGCAGATGCAGCTATTCTGAATGCATGCTGTTTTGCAATGTGTGCATCCTAAACTGATTTTATAAAGCAAATAAGCATGTGCGAGCTCCTGCCCATGCACACGCCAATGTGGAGGGCATTGCAGCCTGACATGAGCTGTTCTCAAGTGCCCACAGGTGTGGCTTCAGCCTGTGGACACCTGCAGATCCAATAAGAGACGTAGAGAGTCCCTGTCAAGAACCACTCTTAGCCAGATTTGAGTCTCATTTTTTCCCTCTGCCATTTCTCTCGCTCTCTCCTCTTGTGGGTTGCCTCTTTCCTGGGACCATCCTATCTAGACTCTGAAGGGCTGTTGCTGGTTCTGAGCTCTCAGGTCCCTGTAATAGCAGTCCCTCAGTTCAGAAAACAGCTGCTGGGGCAGCCTGGGCACCTGGCGCTTCTGTCTCCCCACAGATGGATCGTGGATGGAAAGTCCACTGGGATTTTTTCCGACTGCAGAATTGCCTTAGAAGTCTTTCAAAAGAAAAAAATCTGCTCTTATGCCTATTTTTCATGATTACAAAGATAATATTCAATGTATGATGCTATTCTGTGTGTGTAAGTATTAAATTATATGTATAATTTGTAAGTGCAAATTAGGACATAGAAGGAAACATTTGGGTCTATTTCCCTGAAGTTTTTATAAGACATAGATATTTTATATTTGAGAAATATAAATAAACATAATATTATGTTTGAAAAATATAAAATTTATACACAAATAAACATTTACTGTTAATTTTCTGTATATAAGAAGAGAGCCTGTGACCCTAACCTTTGTATGCTAGAATCCAGAACTTCTTGCCATGTCACTGTACCTCCCCTTACAACTCATGACCCATGACTGCATGGAATCCTTGGAAATTTTATAAAATAAGAATCTTAGAACCTGAGATGCTGAACAGACTCCAGAGATCCTCTAGAGCAGCAGTTTCCAAAGCAGGGTTGGGAGACCTGTGTGGTCACCACCTCCTGGACATTTGGCAGCAGCACAGAATCTTGGGCTCCCCCAGCCCAACTGGACCCGATGGTGTGGGGTGGAGCCAGCGTCTGCATCTTCACAAGCCGCCTGGTGCTTCTAGCGGAAGGACCTGTGCTCTAGCTCAAGCCCCCCTTCTTCACAGATGGGGAAACTGAGATGGGAGAGGACAGTGAGTTGTCCGAGGCCAGGCAGCCAGCAGAAAACAGGGCTTCTGATTCTTTGTGCAGACCTGGAGCCCTGGGTGGAGCCCAATCAGCTGGACACTGCTGGTGATGGACAACCCGAGTTTGTGCCTGTGGGGGATCCCTGCCCGGGAGGCCATGCTGAGGCTGTGGCTTCACCTAGATGTTCACTAAAACAGAAAGCAGCCCTCAGGGAGCTAGGAATGCAAAGGGACCTGTGTGGGGGACTGGCCGAGTCTGCCGCAGTACCCTATCTTAGAGCAGTGCTCACTGTCCAACAGAATATGGTGCATGCCGCGCTGGTACTTTTAAATTTTCTAGTAGAAACGTTCAAAAAAGTAAAAGGAAACTAGTGAAATTAATTTTGATAGTGTATTTAATACATATCCAAAATATTATCAGTTCCATATGAAATCATATGCAAAAATAGCAAGTGAGATGATTTTTTTTCACACTGTCTTCGACATCCAGTGTGTGTTTTACCCTTACAGCACATCTCAGTTCTCACTGGCCACACTTACATGCTTAATCACCACACGGGGTTGCCGTCTGCCATGTTGGATGGCACAGCTCTAGGATGTTCTTTATTGTGCCTTTGTAAGGCAAACACTCTCCCTCAAGACTACTAGGTTGCCTCCTCCAGGAAGCCCTTGCTCATTCCTGCTCTCGACCCCCCCAGAGGAGGTTCTGTTCCATGCAGCACACTTTGCTGGGCCTAAAATCTTGCCTATCATAGAATATGTTGTGTGTCTCCTCTTCTGTCTCCTCCACGGACAATGAGCAACTTGAAGGCAGGGACCATGTCTATTTATCTTGGTAACTTCAGTGCTAGCAAAATACCAGGCACTTTCTAGAAGTATCTGTGGAATAAACAAGTAGGTGCAATGATCGGGGTGGGGCTGCCCAATCCCCCTTCCTCTCTCTGGCAACTCCACATTCTTTCTTCAACAGGCAGGATTCCAGCATGGCTTCAGGGGACCCTGCTTCGCAACGGGCCTGGCATGCACACGGTGGGGGAGAGCAGATACAACCACTGGTTTGACGGCTTGGCCTTACTCCACAGCTTCACCATCAGAGACGGTGAGAGTGCTGCAGCTGCCACCGCTTCGTTCGTGGCCTGAGACATAGGTTTATTCTCTTTCAGTTACAGAGGTCAGGAGTTGGAAATGGCTAAAATCAAGGTGTTGACAGGGTTGCATTTCTTCTGGAGACCCTAGAGCAGAATCCATTTTCTTTCCTTCTCTAGCTTCTGGAAGCTGCCTGCATTTTGGGCTCGTGGCTCCCTCGCTTTCTTCAAAGCCAGCAGCCCAGAATCTTGTAGCCCGCCACCACCTCATACCCCTTGCCCTCTCTCCACTGTCACAAACTCCCTTGTGATGATGCTGGTCACCTGGATAATCCAGGATCATCTCCCATCCCCAAACCTTTCACTTAATTATACCCACAAAGTCCCTTTTACCATGTCAGGTAACAGATTTACAGGTTCCAGGGACCAGGGTGTGAACATGTTGGGGTGGGGCATTATTCTGTCCACAGCAAGCACAAGACTCTCTGGAAGGGTGTCCAGGGTTCTCCCTCAGTTCATCTTGCAAAATAAGATGCATTTTCAATAAGGTGGGCCAGGGCGCATGGAAGATTGCAGGCTTTGGATTCAGATATACATCAAATCAAAATATGAAGCATCTTTGGATTCAAATATGCATCAAATCAAAATATGAAGCTTTGCTGAAGAGCAAAGCTGAGCGTCCTTCTCAACGGGCAGGGACCTGCCAGGCCGCTTGAGCACTGAATCAAATATACCTCGGAGCAGAACCCTACCAGGACAATGACAGGTGTCTGGCTTAAGACATGCACTGCGAATCCTTGGCTATTGGCCACCAAGCTGGTTTGTCACTTTGGTGGCTCTCATGAGACAAGTTCTTAAAGAAGTCCTGGCTGGTTGCATAAGACTATAGCATGTCACAGAGAAGGCAAGTCTGTGCCCAACTGCCCAGGCATGGCGAGACTTCAGCCCCTGCATTCCAGCATGGGTGAACTGTGGTCCCTGAGCCTCGGCTTCCTCGTTGGGAAAATCATCCTCCCCTAGACAGCTGTTGTGATTGTTAGAATTTGTAGCAATTAGAATTATCATGAAATGTTGAGGAAGCACCTAACACTGGCCCAAATGCACATGGCAAAAGGTGGTAGAGGTCAAGTTTAAGCCCTATGCTTTCCAAAATCAAAATCTCAAGTCCTAGCCACTGTACAGTTCTGCTCTATCCCACTCCACCAGTCACCCCCATTCCCCTTCCCTCCCACTGCTGCCAGATGGCCAGCATTGGCATGGCACAGCCTAGCCTCCTCCCTCCTCTCCTCTAGAACACTCAGTGGCTCCCCATGATCTAACAGTGGGAACATAGGTTAAGTTCACTACTATGCCTAGTTCAGAAGAGAGCCCACACAGGGAGATCAGGGGTCTCTGATGTGCAGATAACACAGAGCCAGGATTTCTCAAAAGGCCTTTGTATACCTCCTTCCTCAGACTACCCTGGGATGTAAATCCTGAGAGCCAGTGTCACCCAGGGCTTGAGTGAATCATGATCTCAAAGGGTAAGGGCAGAGCATTGGTGTTCCTAACACATTGTCCAAGTGACCCCAAGCCCCTCTTGGTAGACAGTAGGCTTTCCAGGCTCCCAGGACCAGGTTAATGAGAAGTGCTATGAGCTGGGGCACAGCCTCTGCCAGTGTTTAGAAGCACCAGGGGATTCCCTGCAGCAGAGAAGTGCCATATGGAGCCACACAGTGGGAGAGGATTCTGAGACTGGAGAGGGAAAAGGCCATAAAATGGCTTGTGGCCTTCAGCAGAGACCAGAAGAAGCGAATGCCTTAAAAAACAACAAAGAGGACTGGGGATGCAGCTCAGCTGGTGGAGTGCTTGCCTCTCAGGCACAAGGCCCTGGGTTCAATCCCCAGCACCACAAAAAATAAAATAAAATAAAAAACAGCAAAAACTGGACAAAAGGGACAGAGGTGGGGCGTGGGGGTGGGTCTAGGTGACGGATGTGTAAAAACATTCCTTCCTCTACGTCTAAAATCACTTCAAAATATAAAGGGCTTTGTGTCTAAACATTTAAGGAGTGAGTGACTCCAGGTCTCCTCTAGCAATGACAGTTACTGATTATCCAAGAAGGAAAGTTGTCCCACCAGGATTAGAATAGTGAAAAGAGTATGTGTGTGTGTGTGCGTGTGTGTGTGTGTGTGTGTGTGCACATACACACGCATATGCCTGCTCTGCCCCCCAAAATATCAGGCGTGACCCAGCTGCTAAAGATCCCAGGCAGGACATGTGTGCTTACTGTGTTCTACGGAAGGAATGTGGCTAATTGGATGCTCCAGAGCAGGGGGTGGGGACACACAGAGGCCCCTTCTTTATTCTCAGCCCCAAAGTACAGGGTCAGCCTTGAGCAGTTCCAGAGACACATTGTGACCCCTGGCCCCTGCGCTCCCCGCTCTGCTGCTGGATGTTTATAGGACATGGGTGGCCTGGACTGGGAGTTTACATTTCAAGTGAAAATAATCCAGTCTTGTGGGCCAAGCATCCATGAGTCCCAAAGAGCCTCAGCCAATGCACTAGGGGTGGCGCACTCTGCAGAGAGTGGCCAGCACAGGCCAGGCTGGCCTAATGCAGGTCTGCTCTAGGCAGTACACAGCTGGGGATGAGGGTGTGGCCTCCCACCTCCAGGATCTCCCGGACCTGCCAGAGTTTCAGCAGCCCTCGACTCACACAGTGTGTCTTGGAGCCAGAGACTTTGCTCATCTTACTTCATGTAAACAACCAACTAGGCCCAGAGAACTCTGGAATCCCCAGCTTTCACTGGAGGAAATACGCTCAGAGACAGTACCTGCCACAGCTTGGATGGGGACAAGCCCCAGAATCAAAGCCTTGACCACTCTGTCTATAGCATCTTGGTACTGTCACTTTTTTTGAGCACCTACTATGTGCTGTACAGGCCTTAGATTCTGCAAGTATAAGAAACATCATGATCCTCATGTCAGCATGGAGAAGACTAAGGCTTGCTTCTGACCAAGACCAGGTGTGTGGCTGGTCTATGGGGGAGTGTGGATTAGCACATGGGCAGCTGAGTCTCTTTCAGGGTGGGGAATTTGGCTGTTCCCATTTACTGAATCCCCATTCCTGGTTCCCTAAGGTGTTGGGACAGCCCTGTCAGCCCCAGAGCCCAGGCTCCCAACTGTTCCTCCCCAGGTCTTCCCACAACTGAAACAGCCCCATGACACTTGCTCACACAGTGGCCACCTCCAAAAGGATGTTTGACAAAAGGATAGAGGAATATTTGTCCCTTGAGGACACACAGTTAGCCTCCTGGTCAAGAAACTCCAGTTAAACCAGGGAAGGAATTGGACAGTCTTCCATAGTCTCCTCCAGTTTTATTATGGATCATGTCACTAGTACAGAGTCCGTCACTATTATTGTCATTACCTCCCTCCAGTGCACAGTGGGAGGCGTTACCACTGACTTTCACACTCAGTCCTGGGGGATGGTCAAGAACACGACGCTGAAGGGGAAACCAAGGATGCTGTTACAAGTCCAGGGAGTGGTTACCCTGGGGTGGGGGTTAGTGACTGAATGGCTCCCAGGAGGTTTCTAGGGCACTGCTTCTGTCCTCTTCCTGGCCAGCGTGTAGCTATGTGGGTATGCTCAGCTTGTGCGATGTCATCAAGCTGTTCAGTCATGGAAACACATTTCTACAGGTATTTTTAGCATCGAGGATCAGGCAATATAGTCAAACCTGTTGTGCTGCTGTGGCAGGATCTTGGTTAGGAGAGTCAGTTTTCAATGCCTGTTATGGGGCTTCAAATCCATGAGTGCTCACTAGATATGTGGCTTAAGGCAGTGTATTTAACCTTTCTGTGCCTCAATTTTAAGAGCTGAGAAATAGGTCTGCAGGGCTATGAGTACCCAAGCCTTTTGTATTTCCTTTGGTAAGAAATTTTTTTATTTATTTTAATTAGGTATATATGACAGCAGAAGGCATTTTGATTCATTGCACACAATTGCTGCACAACTTTTTATTTCTCTGATTGTACATAATGTAGCATCGCACCATATGTGCAGTCATACATGACCTACGGTAATGATGTCCATCTCATCCCACCATCTTTCCTGCCCCTACACCCCCTTTCCACCCTCCCTCCCCGTTGACCAATCACAGTTCCTCCATTTTTCCCATGTTCTCCCCCATTATGGATCAGCATCCACTTATCAGAGAGAACATTCAGCCTTTGGTTTTGGAGGATTGGCTTACTTCACTTAGCATGATATTCTCCAACTCCATCCATTGACCTGCAAATGCCATAGTTTTATTCTCTTTTAATGCTGAGTAATATTCCATTGTGCATATATACCACACTTTCTTTATCCATTTATCTATTGAAGAGTATCTGGGTTGCTTCCACAATTTAATTATTATGAATTGAGCTGCTCTGAACATTGATGTGGCTGTGTTACTATAATATGCTGATTTTAAGTCCTTTGGTATAGACGAGGAGTGGTATAGCTGGGTCAAATGGTAGTTCCATTCCAAGTTTTCTAAGGAATCTCCATACTGCTTTCCAGAGTGGTTGCAACCAATTTGCAGTCCCACCAATAATGGATGAGTGTACCTTTCCCTCCACATCCTTGCCAACATTTAATATTGCTTATATTCTTGATAATTGCCATTCTGACTAGCATGAGATAGACTCTCTGGGGTAATGATGCCTCTCCTGAGCATTCCCAGCTGGATTTGAGCTCTCTCTCCCCTCCTTTCTCCCCAAAAGGAACCTGAGAATATGTCCAGTTTCTCTACATGGCAAAAGACTTTGCAGATGTACTTAGGTTAAGGATCTTGGATGGGAGGTTTCCCTGGGTTATCTAGGTGGCCTAACATAATCACAGGGTCCTTATAAAGGAAGGCAGGGCTGGGCATGACGGAATATTCCTGTAATCCCAGCAGCTTGAGAGGCTGAGGCCGGAGGATCATGAGTTCAAAGCCAGCCTTAGCAATTCAGCAAGGCCCTAAGCAACTCAGTGAGACCCTGTCTCTAAATAAAATCCAGAAAAGGGTTGGAGATGTGGCTCAGTGGTGAATCACCCCTGAGTTCAATACCATGTACCAAAAAGAAGTAAAACAGGAGGATCAGAGTCAAAGATGATAGAAAGGTGTTGGAGTAAAGTGGCCATAAGCCAAGGAATGCAGGCAGCTCCGGAAGCTAGAACAAGCAAGGAGCAGATTTTTCCTTCAGAGCCCAAGAAGGAATTAGCCCCATGGACACCATGAGTTGGCTCTGAAAGACCCATTTCAGACCATATCTCTCAGAGTTGTAAGATGGTGTTTGTTGTTTTAGGTCATAAATTTTGTGACAAGTTGTATAGCTATAGGAAACCCATAAGGTCTAGAATCATCTGCTGTTTTCATGTTGGTCCTGATGAAGGGACCTGCTCCCTGCTTTTGTGCAGTGACATAGAGCTTCCCTAGGGTCTGGAAGGGCCACCCAGTCAGCACAGCTCCCACCCTCCATATACAGAGCAGAAGGTTAGGTGGCCCCTGGTAGATATCCGTGTTACTCCAGGAGGCGGCAGTTGTCCACCCAGACTTCTAAAGGCAGGACTCCCAACAGGGAAATGCAGTCTTTAGGCCAGTCCTCCAAGCCTGTGCCACCTCTGGGGGTACACCAACATGGCGGAAGGGATGGTACCCAGCCAGACAGTGCTGGGCCAGGCAATGGTGCGTCTCTGAGCTCAGCTCCCTCATATGGAAATGGAGTTGAGACAGACAGACTGAGCATGTCTCACTGTTGTGAGTCTCAAGTGGACGGATTGTGCGTGAAACTGGACCCCGGGTGCTGGTGATGGCGGCTCCTGCATGAAAGGAAACCGTCTTGGTGAGCTGACCTCCCCCTTCCTTCATAAAGCCCCCAGAATGGAGGACAGAGATTGTAAAGCCCCATACGTGCCAACCAGGGACTAATCTGGTTCTTCTCTTTCAGGTGAGGTCCATTACAGGAGCAAATACCTGAGAAGTGACACCTACAACGCCAATATCGAGGCCAACAGGATCGTGGTGTCGGAGTTTGGAACAATGGCCTACCCGGACCCCTGCAAAAACATCTTTTCCAAGTAACTGCCCATTTAGAATCTGACTGAATTTCATGCTCTTTGATGCCCTGCATGGTCCAAACAACCAGTACTTCCCCTCTGATGGTTTTCTTTAGGGTGGATAAAAACTCCACAGGGCTGGCCTTTTGACCATAGTTGCTGGTAATTCTTGATCACTGGTAGCAAGAAAGGCAGAAAGCATTTGACAAATTGTTAGGTACTCTCCCGCGTGACTGGGGAAAGAGCAGTTAGGAACCATCTGTCAAGGTTACAAATGCACATTCCCTCTGGTCAAGGGATACACTTGCTCGTGTCTGAAGTGACAAATGTACAAACAAGGTTATTCACGGCTACGTCATTTGTTATAATGAGAAACTGAAAACAACCCCAGTGCTCATCAACAGAGGAGCGGTTAAGTCAATAACATTGAAACTGTACTAGAAAGCACCATGCTGAAGTGAAGAGGAAGGAGGACACTCTAGATGGGAACATTTCCAAGACATCTTGATAAGTGCTTCATTTTGTGTACAAAGGCAGAGGAAATCTAGATTAGTTTTTGCTTGCACAGGCGTCAAGTCTGAAAGGATGCTTAAAGGAGAGAGGACACTGGCAGGTGGACCACAAAGTGGGGGAGACTTTTCAGATCGTCAGGTTCTGATGCATATGTAGGTATCACAGGTTCAACTGTTAAACTCTTGGCCAGGGAAGCAGGCCAGCTGTCAGTATCTCCTCTCTGATACTCTTCAGACAAAGAGGGGTCATGAAATGGCTGGGGCTACACTGGTCCAGAGATGCAAGATTGCTTTTGCTTCTCTGGAAATGGCATCGGCTGTCTGCACAGGGAAGTGCTGTGCTCACACCTATAAATGGGGTGGAGCCTGGAAGGAGGCAGCCAGAAAGGAGTGGCAGGGGTTAAGACCACAGCTGCAGGGCAGCCTCTCCTGCCACCCCTTGTCAGCAGGGTGCACGACCTAGATCTAGGATTGCCAGTTGCACCAGTGAACCCCTCTGGGTCTCCTTCCTTCCCGCTTGGAGTTTGCCTTCTGATAAAAATGAGTAATGAGTTCCTAACTCAACACTCATTTGTATTCCTTTTTTAAAAAAAAAAACTAATTTCCTAGCCAAATTTGAGAAAACCAGTGTGGACAAAGCAGGAATTCACTGCTTTGACAGCCATTACGGCATGTGTGCGATTTCTGTAGAGCTGCTCCAAGCACTTGGAAACAACCCGCCAGCTCTTGCTGGCTCTGGCACAAGAGACCTGTGGATTTTTGAGAGCTCAGTAGGGATCAGTGGGTGACCTAGGAACTCCCTGTAACTCATTGTAATATTGTTTTGGGGGAACCAGATAGCTGAGTCCTCAAGATTCCTTAAGAACCCATTGAGGGCTGGGGATGTGGCTCAAGCGGTAGCGCACTTACCTGGCATGCGTGTGGCCTGGGTTCGATCCTAAGCACCACATACAAACAAAGATGTTGTGTCCGCCGAAAACTAAAAAATAAATATTAAAAAATTCTCTCTCTCTCTTCTCTCTCTCTCTCTTTCTCTCTCTCTTAAAAAAAAAAAAAAAAAGAACCCATTGAGACCCAGTACTTTTTCTCCTGAAGTTGAAATTAAGCATTAAAGTGATAGGAAAACTGGAACCCTCAGGGCAGAACTTTCTGGCTGGGTAGGCAGAGCCAGTGACCTTGCTGATACGCTTCTTTCCCCAGAGCATTCTCCTACTTGTCCCACACCATCCCTGACTTCACAGACAACTGCCTGATCAACATCATGAAGTGTGGAGACGACTTCTACGCAACCACAGAGACGAACTACATCAGGAAAATCGACCCATGGACACTGGAGACCCTACAGAAGGTAGCAGCAGACCTTCAGTGACCTCAGTTCCACATGCAAGGGCGGGGCATGTTTGGCGAGACCCAGTGGGCTGCCAGGAGCTCATCGGAGGTCCCCCCACGTGCCATTCCATCCTGGACCGCCCCTAGCCATGCTTGGTGCTAAATTCTAAGCTCCTGTGGGCAGGGAAGGTGCTTTCATCTCTGGGGCTGTGTTGACTTTCCATAGTGATTGCAACAAAGCACGTCCTGTGCCCCATGGCAACGTGTCTGTCAACACAGAACACTTAAACGGTGGTGGCCCCGTGATTGTATTGCCTAGTGATGTTATAACCACCTTGGTCTGTCTTCGAACATGCTGTGATGTTCACACAACAACAAAATATATTGATGTTTCTTATCTCTGTCCCCAAAATAATGCCGCGTGTCCCCATCACTAAGTAATGCATGATTATTCCACAAACTAAGGGGCTTTACTCTCAGTCATGGAGGTCAGAGGTCTGAAATCAAGGTGTTCCCACTTGGAGTTTGCTTTCTGATAACATGAGTGATGAGGTCCTAACTCAACCTTAGTTTGTTTTCCTTTGATAAAAATGAATTTCCTGGACAGGCTTGCTATGAGGGGTCTAGGGTGGGATCCTTCCCTGTCTCTTCCAGCTCCTGGTGGCTGCCAGCAATTCTTGGTGCTCCTTAGCTTGTAGGCAGGTTGCTCCAGTCTCCTCCTCCATCACCACACAGCCATCTCCTTGAGGTTTTTGAGTCCAAATTTCTTACCTTGCATAAACTCCCAAGCCATCAGATTTATTTTTTATTTATTTATTTATTTTTTATTTATTTTCTCACCTTGCATAAACTCCCAAGCCATCTAATGCAGTATGAGCTCATTTTAATTACTTCTATAAAGACCCTATTGCCCAATGAGGTCACGTTGGTAAGTACCAGGGTTCAGGACTGCAGTGTCTTATTGGAAGACACAATTCAACCCACACTTCTTGGCACCTAGGGAGCTTGATGAAGTTGGAATGGCTGTTGGAGTGCCAGGATTCCTGGCAGCCCTACCCATATTGACCTGCAGAGGGAGGCCTTGGGCAAAGAGCAAGGGCATAAAAATAAATGTCCTAGCAGATGCCTTTCCTGGGCAGAATCAATCCAACATTTTTGTGAAAATCAATAGACCCGGGTTTGATTTTCCTCAGCTGGCCGTTCAAAGCCCCGGTTCTTCTCAAGGCGTTTTAACGGTCTGTTAAAAGGAGTGCTTTTCTTAGCTGGGAAATTATGTCCCGCTCCTTTTAAGCTAGGTGGCGGGGGGGTCCAACTGATGCCTGCTTTCCACAAAAGAGGAAATAACGGGAAAGGACGGAGCCCTCCTGACTCTGGGCTGGAGGGAGCGCTGCTCTTGGGGAGGAAGAGTGGACAGCTGGTCCTGGCCATCTCATGGTTCTGCAGCTGTGGCCTGTGTAGAGCAGGGGTTGTTGTTCAGCCTGTGAGTGGAGCTTCACTTTGACTAAAGGTCTTTATGCCCTCTCTATCCCCAGAACAATGGTGCGAGACAGGCTCGGAGCCCTGTGTTCTGTGGAAGGCAAAAGGGGTGAATCTAAATGAGTTAACAGAGCAGTGGCCAGGATTAGCTGGAAGGCTGCAGTCTCTCTGCCAAAGTCTTTGCTCAAGCCTCCCGCGGTGAGACAGCCTGTCTGCATGCTGAGGGCCCTGGCAGGGACAGGCCGCAGGGGGGAATCACAGCCACAGAAGTCACACAGGCTCACCAACTCTCCTCTACCCCTTTGCAGTAGGAGCCCCTCCCAACACAGGGTTTCATCAGATCCAAGGGTCCACACCCACTCAGGTAATTCTCTTATTTTCCAATCTGGAGATGTGCAAAAATCCCCCTCATCTCTCTGGACATAGAATCAGTCAGGTGTTCAAGAAATTTCAACCTCTCCCCTTTAAAAACCTTGAGGCTGTCTTATTTTGCAGGTTGATTATCGTAAATATGTGGCTATAAACCTGGCAACGTCACATCCTCATTATGATGGGGCTGGAGATGTTCTCAACATGGGCACATCCATTGTGGACAAGGGGAAGACAAAATATGTGATATTTAAGATCCCTGCCACGATGCCAGGTAGGTCCTTCTGGGGCACGTAATGAAGCCCACCTGGCCAAGGGCAGCTCCTGCTGAGGAATGCTGGGTTTTGTTTACAACCCAGCACTTGGTGATACTTTCCCCATCAAGAAGGCATTCAGATGACCATAAACTCAGATTCCTCCTTTAAAAGAAAAGAGTAATTTCTGGAATTCTTTTTGGAAGAAAGGAATTCTCTCACTATTCTAACCTCCTTCATCAATTCATCATTTTATCCATCCACCCACCACCCATCCATTCATTTGTCCTATTTCAACCTTTTCTCTAAGCTCCACTATTTTATTAGTTTATCCATCCATCCATTTATCCGTCTGTCCGTCCATCCATCCATCCATCCATCCATCCATCCATCCCATGTTTTAAGTCTTTTGACAATCTTCGCATGGCCAGGGTTCACCCCCAGCTCTGCAGCCAGGCTCCCAGGATTATTCAGGGAGCTCAGCTATGCTGGGATTTACTCCAAATCCCCACCCTATTCTCTGGGCCTTCTGGACTTTCTCCACTTAGGGCTGGGATTCTGGAGCAAAGCCCAGGCCAACGGGAATTGCATGTTCCTGAGGGGGAAGAGGGTGAGGTTTCTAGCCTGTGTTTGTCCAGGACCCTCCTAGGAACCACACCCAGGAGACTGGGCCTTATGAGGGCTGCCACTCAGGACTCGAGGCAGCGTGGGACTCTGAGGGTGCTTGACCTGACCTTCTGGTTTAGGAAACTAGTTTACATCTGTGATCCTGATGGTCCCTGCCCCCACAGTCCTGTAGAAATTTCTGAGAGAATTGCCAGGCTGTGCTGGGAGATGTGATTCCCTCGGGTCAGAAGGTACAATGAGTATTCTTTAAGCAAAAATCTCATTAATTATGTCATTCAAGGACTATAAGGTCCAGTCAGAATCCTAGACTGCCAGAGTCAGGGGTATCTAGGCATCTGTTGCCACCTCATATTACCCAGGAGGACAGTGAGGCTCGGGGATCAGGTGACACCCTGGGGCCTACAGTTTACAGGAGCACAGACACTGCAAGAGCAGCCACCCTCTGCTCCAAGCTGGGACTGGCCTGGGGAGCCGTCCCCATCTGTGCCGCCTGGGCCAGGAGCTTGTCATCTCAGTTTGCATTGTGCTTCATTTGTTTTGTGAAGAAAAGAACCATCCCACAGCCCCACCACATCCTCCCCGGCCAGCTGTTTACAGTGTGCACAGGTGGCCACAGAGAGGTGGGGACCTTTGCAGGTAACTCATTATAAACCGGCCTGGGGCCTGGGTGGGGAGGCCTTTTGGCCAGGGGTGACTCATCCTTTCAGAGGAATAAGAAAACCAAACACTGATCACCTTTGGTGTCAGGTGCACCAGGTGAGGCACCGGAACCCCAGTCAGGACAAGAGGTCAGCTTGTCCCTCACCACTGTGTTGTCTCATCCTGGTCTCTACCTTCCCTGAGGCTATGCGACCTGATGGTGGAGAAGGAAGCCAAGGATAAGGGGCCATGTTTCTCGCTGAACCCTGTGGCTCTGACCACAGTGGTAAGCAATGTCACCAAGTCTCAGTCTCTCAGCTTTGCAGTGGGCATCCGACAGCCTGGCTTGATTGTCACAGTATATGTAAAAGCCCCTCATCACAAGTCGGTCCCTTCCCAGGGTCTTGTAATGGGCAGTGCAGGAGAAAGTTGTGGAAGCCTTAGGAAATACATGCCAAATGATGGCACCCAGCAAAATACCAGAGCTTCAGCCCAGAAAGCCCCCGTCTCTTGGGAGCCTGATGGAAACGCAGACTCAGGCCCCAGCCCGCACACTGAGTTAAACTCCTCATTTTATCATGATCCCCAGATGATTCACATGAGCGCTAAAGTTTGAAAAGCACTGCTCTGCAGCAGCTGACTTTTTCTGTAAAGGGGCCAAGTAGTAAATATTTAAGGCTTTGAGGACCATATGGCGTGGGCCACTGTAGCTGAAAGCAAAGGCAGTCACAGACAATGCACAAAGGCGTGGGGGAGTGGGGCCAAGGGAGTGGGACCACAGTCCAGAGAGACTGTGCCAAAGCAGGCGAGGCTCGGGTGAGCCCCTGGCTGTGATGCTGAGCCCTGGCCTGGAGGCCTCCCTTGGTGGACCAGAGGCTTTCATGCCCGAGAACCTGAGCTCATCGTCATGGGGGCCCTGAGTGGGATGCTCTCAGGCCCTACGCCTGGTCTCCTTAGCAACCATCAGTCTGTGGGTGACAGTTGTGTGGTGGTCCTGTCCTGGGCTGGTACCTGTGTGATTCCAGGTTTGCTTTCCTGCAGAGGCCAAGAGGAAGGGGAAGAGCCCTCTGAGGCACACGGAGGTGTTCTGCTCCATCCCCTCCCGTTCGCTCCTCTCCCCCAGCTATTACCACAGCTTTGGAATCAGCGAGAACTACATCGTGTTTCTGGAGCAGCCCTTCAGGTTGGACATTCTCAAGATGGCAACCGCATACATGCGGGGAGTCAGCTGGGCTTCCTGCATGGCCTTCCACAGGGAGGACAAGGTGAGGCCTGGCTGGGATGTCGCTGCCTGCCGCAGGGGCAGACTGGGAGGGAGCCTGACTGGCAGGAGGGTCGGGGAAGGAGACTGCGTGGAGGGAGGGAGAAGAGCAGCTACCTTGCAGACTCCGGGAGGAGCCTCAACCTTCCAGAGTTCTAAAGCCGATGGTCCTTTAGAGTATCCCTGAATGAGGGCAAGAGGCCTGGGCCTTCTACCCCCACTTCAGTAAGTCACTGGAGACAGACTGACCTCACGCAACCAAGGCCACCAACCCAGTCCCCACATGCCCAGCTGCAAAGGGACCAAGAGCTCATCCTGAGGGATAGTTGGGCCCCTCACAGCCTCCATCATCCAAGAACACGGCTCCTCTGGCATCCCTGCCATCACCTTGTGTGGCTGGGAGGACGGCAGGTGCTCGCAGTGATGGAGGGCTCCCCAGCGTGCTTCAGGAGAAACATCTGTAGTCCAGGTGTGCCTGAGTGCTCCAACAGGTGTGTCTGTGTGGTAATGTGTGCACCTATGTGTTTGTGTTTATTTTCGGTTATTACTTTACTTTTGAAAAATATCAAGTAACTCTCAGTGTTATTTAGTCAACTAATACATGACTTTAGAGCCACATGTTCACTCCCCTCCCTCCCAGCCTCCTGTCCCAGTAGCAAGCAGTTTTACATGTGCATACAAATACTGTGGCTGGCCACCTCCTTAGGGCCTGTCCTCTCCCTTCTCAGCGCTGAGGTTCTTGTGGGAGTGAAGTTGTGGCTCAGGTCCCTCCTCTGCTCAGAACCTTCTAGTTATTTTCCATCTTCCTCAGAATAAGATCCTGGAATCCCCACACACCCCCATCCCAAGCCCTCACTCCCTGCTTGGTGTCCTCCTGACCCTCCTGGCTCTTGAACCAGCCAGATACATTCCTGTCTCAGGGCCTTTGCATCGTCTTCCTCTCATGGAATGGGCTGCTCCCCCACCTGCACCTGGCTGCCCCCTGCCCTTGACCCAGGTGGTGGCTCGACACCCCTGATCTCTGGGCCTTCCTCTCTGAGCCCATCTGAGTAGACCCTGTCCGGGGCTTTCTCCACCTCCACCCTGCTCTCTTTATTTCAGGAGCACCCATCACCTTGACATGTTGTAGATTTGGTATTTATTGTGGGCTTCACCCCACTAGCATGGGAGCTCTGGGAAAGGAGTTTGGGATTATTTTGTCTCTCTGGTTCCTGAAGAAGCCCCTGATACCTAGTAGCCCCTCCACAAATATTTGAAGCTTAAATAAGAAGGACTGGAAGTCCACTGAAGCTGTGCGTGTCCTGTAGCAGTCTCCTGGGGAGCCTCTGGGAGCTCCTGTCAGCAGGAGCTTGGGAGTCCTCTATGTCTCTAACCTGAACCTCTCGGGAGTCCCTGGCCCTCAGAAAGTCTCAGGGAGATTCCACATGTCAGAACCCACATGTCAGAGCAGACAGCCCTGGGGAAAGCTCTGGAATGAGTTCAGAAGAGAATTTTCTTTTTTCCTTTTTTTATAACACTGGGAATTGAAACCAGGGGTGCTGTGCCACTGAGCTGAGCTACATCCCCAGACCTTTTTATTTAATTTTGAGACAGGGTTGAGGCTGGCCTCAAACTTGTGTTCCTCTTGCCTCAACCTCCCTAGTAGCCTGGATTATAGATATGTGCCACCACACCCAACTTTAAAAGAGAATTTCCTGCAAGATCCCAGTGGTTGGCTCAGGAATTGCAGTCATGAGAGAGAGAGAAAGCCTAAAATCATCACCACTATCCTCACCTCCCCTACTCAGCCCACTACCACCTCAATCAGAGCCTACCTCCCTTGCAGCCCTCCTAACACCTGAAGCTTGGTTCTGGGAAAGAAAGAAGGACCAGAGTGAACCTCCCTTCCTCTCAGGAGGAGGTGGTTAGCCCAGACCTGCCAAAAGAAAAAAACTCACACCCCGTTGGATTAGGCAAATGGCCACAGATATGGCTGATTACCACCCAGAGTGAGGCCAGCCAGTAGTGCCCAGGGAAGTGTCCCTGAGAACCTGTGAGCGGGTGCAGCTCCTAGGCTGGAGCTGGCACTGGGTCCGCTTCACTGCAGCCCCCGGGGACAGGTGGGGTTGCTGTGCCAAGCACCTCCTGGGGAACAGGCAAAGGTGGGAAGTGGGCCCTGCAGTACCAGCCAGGAGAGGGGACCCATAGGATGGGGGACTTGGTATCTTAGGGACTACAGCTTCTGATGGAGCCTGACACCTGGCAGGTCCTCCCCAATGTGGTCACTGTCCACTGGAGTTCGTCTGTGGAATGCGTGACAGTGCACCCTCGGGAGCCTCCCCAGACATTGCCCAGAGGCCCTGGCAGCAGGGCATCCCTCCTCCCATCTTAAAGATGGGGCCACAGAAACCAACAAGGCACAGCGCTGCCCATTGAGTGCTTCTACCTATCGGGTACTTCTGAGAAGACGCAGAGCTCAGGAGGGGGAATGCTCCAGATCATGAGCTAGTTCCAGGTAGGGCCAGGTGTTGTCAGTCCCCGGACTCCACCATGCCAGGCTTCAGAGGGAGAGCTGACCACCCAGTGGGCATCTTCTTCCAGACTTACATTCACATCATTGACCAGAGGACCAGAAAGCCTGTGCCCACCAAGTTTTACACAGATGCCATGGTGGTGTTTCACCATGTCAACGCCTACGAGGAAGGTGACTGCATTCTGTTTGATGTCATCGCCTATGAGGACAACAGCCTCTACCAGCTCTTCTACCTGGCCAACCTCAACAAGGACTTCGAGGAGAACTGCAGGCTCACCTCGGTCCCCACCCTCCGGAGGTTTGCTGTGCCCCTCCATGTGGACAAGGTATGGTGCTGGGGAGCAGCTGTTTCTTCCTAGAGAGACCCAAGCCCAGTAGGAAGTTACTTTGGCACTTATTTGATTGACATTGAAATTCAAAATGAACTGTTAAGAAAAATGATGCTTTCCTTGTTTTGATCATTATGGACATATTTGTACTGTCTGCCCCACCTACACACACACGTGCAAACATAAGATGCACATGTACATATCTTTCTCAGTTTTAATCAGATTATACATAACTCTAACAGCTTCATTGAGATTTAATTCACATATCAAAAAATTGGCCCATTTAAAGTGTTCTGTTCATTCTTCTTTGATGTAGTCATGGAGTTGTGCATTCATCATCATTATCCATTCTAGAACATCTTCATCACCCCAGAAAAGAAATCCCACACACCTTAGCCATCACCTCCTGGTGCCCCTCCCCTCCCCCCAGTCCCAGGCAGCCACTAGCCTACCGTCCATCTCAAAGGACTTGCCTTCCTGACTTTTCGTGTCAATGGAACCACATGGTGAGCAGCCTCTCTGACTGGCTTCTCCCAAGTAGCATGCTTTCAAAGTCCTTCCACGCTGTGGCATCTGGACTTGTTCCCTCTTCTGTGAGGGAATACTAATTCGCATGCTCCTTTCTTCACTTATTAATATATCTAAACATCTCTCCCTGACATTAAATATCCCTTGACAGCATCATTTTTAATTTTTACCTAATAGTCTCTGCCCAGGGTTCATTACCACTGGCTGTCCAACAGTCCTGTTCCAACGCCAGTAGTCCTCCTCCATTAGGGTGGCACTGCGGTGGCTCTGGGCGCAAAGAGGCGACAGCACAGCACTCACTGTCTTCGTGACTTAGTGAATGTCAGTGAAGCCAAATGCAATTACATTTTGATGGTTCACATTTACTAAATGCACACCAGGTGCCGGGTACTTCGCGAAGCACTCTATTTCCCTTCCATCAGTTAATGATGAGGGCGACCCATGGGAGAAGTCCCCAGCAGCCTCATCTTACAGATGAAAAAGCAGAGGCTCTGAGGTGAAGGAATGTGCCCAAGGTCCCAACAGCCCACCTAAGATCAGAGCCTGCTCCGGCCTATCTCCAGACCACATTTGCAGCTGCGAGGTGGTAGTGACTGCTGTTCTCCATAGCAGAGCTCACTCCTGGAAGGAGCCCTGGACAGTCACCCTGACCCCTCTTAGGGCTCTGCTGGCCTAGAAACATTCATTCCTCCAGTACCGGGGAGCCTTCCCGGCCTCACTGCAGGCTCCACGGGGCAGGGGTTCAGCCTACTCCCAGACAGTGAGCAGGGAGCCAGGAGCCGCGCCAGGGTTACTCAGTCTTCAGAGCAGGGGGTCTTGCCTGCCACTCTGGCCTTGCCCCACCTGTGGTCATTTGTGTACCTCTGCCATGGTTTCACCATGTCTGATAGCACCCCTATTTAACAATTTATGAAATTGTTTGTTTTAACCAACTCTTAACTGGTGTGGAAGGAAGCATCCCTAACGACACAGAGCCAAAGGTTGGCAGTAATACAAAGATGTGAAGCAGAGGTCTGAACCGCAGGGGGACTGCTGCTCACCAAGGTCTGACCTCTTGAAAAGAAGCTGGAGGGGCTGGGGGCGCAGCTCAGAAGCCCTGCATTCCATCACCAGTGCCACATTTAAATGAGAAAAAAGAGGTTGCAGGCACTGTGGCACCTGAGACTCTGAGGGACCCATCAGAAAAGTATTGCCTCCCTCCCTCCCTGCTAGCTCAGGGCTATTGACCCATCGGTCACAGCCCATGGCTTGGAGATGCCGCAGTGCAGCTCAGCAGCCTGTCTCCCACTTCCAGGAAGAATGGGGGTGTCACAAACCACACAGGGGTGACTCACAAGGCCACTCTCAGCCCAGGATGATGATGCAGGAAGAGTAGTGCGCTTCCTCCTGCTGCCCACACCGAGGGTTTTATAACCTTTTATCATGCCCTGGAAATGGTTCCCTTCCCCAGGACCATGCTTAGAAGGGAAACAGGTATGTTTATAAAAGACGCTGTGTAGCCATCTGGTGCTTTGAAATTAGCAAAGAAGAGCAAGCCCTGGGATGGGTAGCTCTGGTCATGCTGTTTAATTGCTATTTATTGTCCTTTAAAAATGTATTCTCTACTTTCAAGTCACTCCGCTGCTGCATATGGAAATGGGAGAGTGAAGCAGGTGGACATAGCCACACATGTGCACATCCGACAGCTCTGGCCCAACCCTGTCCAGAGTCTTATCAGAGAGGTGACCCTAGGAGTGCAGTCTTCTCTCAGATGTCCTTCTGCTCTGGGACCTTGGCCCATTATTGTTCCCTCTTCCTGCCACACTGATCTGTCCCATCTCCCTGGCTGCATGTTGGAATCTGCTGCAAAGCTTGACCAGCCCACGCCCACACCACTATGGCAGAACCTCCAGGGGACCCAGGCCTGGCTGGGCTCAGCACCCAGGGATTCCAATGTGCAGCCAGGAGAGAGAAACTCTGGGCCTGGAGGATTCCCCATCCTTCAGGCCTCAGGTCATCTCTGCCCTCAGATGCAGGCACACCCCCGGGCCCAGAGCTCGACGTTTACCTCCAGCATGAGGAACTTGCTCAGTCCCCTCTTCCCACTGAAGCACAGGCTCCAAGAGGGCAGGGACTATGTCTTGTTGACTGTGTCCCCAAGCTGAGAGGCTACTCACTCTTCAGTATCGGGAAGGAATAAATGAGGAGTGAATGAATGAAAATGTGAACCAAGGTCTCCAAATGAAAATGATTTCCACATGGAATGGGCGACAGGGCACTGTACTTAGAGGCCCAGGACCACCCTATTGCCCTGGATTCTCTTGCACTTGAGCTAGCGAAGGTCAAAAGAAGGTGGGGCCATTAGGGCCTCTGGGCATCCCCCCCCCAGCCTGTCTATGTAGGGCATCAGGTGTCTAGGGAAGGGCTCAGCAGAGAGGAGGAGTGGCAGGGAGGGCCATGGACATGTACAGACAACAGGGACCGCAGCCCTGCCCTTGTCCTAAAGGGCATCGTGTGCTCCAGGAGGTGGGTTCAGAGCATTTATCATCCTCACACAAGAGGCTGTCATTGGAGGAGGCACTTTGGGCCCAGAAGTAGCAGCTTCTACTCCTAGACCAGGAGACTTGGGTTTTATCTCCAAATGCAAAAATGAAGACAGATGTAAGAGAAGCTGTGCTGTTGGGAGCGTGCTGCACTTGAGGCCTATTAAATGCCCTTTGTGCTCTTAGACCCTGGCAAAGGGGGCCATGTTCTGGCCTTCTGTCTCTAGCAGGGTCCCTTCTCCACAGGGTGAGGCGTACACAGGGCACAAGGGGTTGTACCCACCAAGAAGGACATCTCCCCACTCTTACCCCAACCAGGCTCTGGATACCTGGAATCCTAAACCTGCTTCAGTACCTGCCCCTGTCCCCCTAAGAGTGGACTGTGCCATTGGGGTACCCACCTGGGCCCACAAGGTGGCAGGGCTGGCCAGGGCATCCAGGCAGTTAGGGCAGAGCCAGGCCTGGCTGTCTCTGTTCCATCTCATCCAGCTCAGGCTGCAAGGGGCCCTAGATTCCTAAAGTCAAGCTCCTTCCAGAGCAGCACTGTGCACTGGGACCTGCATCACAGCCGGAACATTCTCCCTTCCCTGTAACAGGGCTACTGGCCATGAGTTCTGTGGAGCACTTGACAGAGCACATCAGAATGTTTAATTTTACTTCACTATTTTTTAAAAATTTTTTTTAGTTGCAGATGGACACAATACCCTTATTATTTTTATGTAGTGCTGAGGATTGAACCCAGAGCCTCACACTGGCTAGGCAAGCACTCTACCACTGAGAATCCTACTCAGCCCCTACTTCACTGTTTTTAAAATTTGATTTAAAGAGCCACATTTGGCTGGTGGTTGCTGCCCTGGACACAGCAGTTAGTTCCACAATGTTAAGGTCCATGTGTCCAGGTAGGAGAGAGAGGATTTTTTGCTCAATTTGCTTCATGGTTAGGGTCTGTGATCCTCTGCTCATTCTCTCGCTCTGGGTCTTGCACACTTTAGGAATTGTGAAGTGCTGTGCTAATACACATCACACCCTAGTAGCTGTGGCTTCTCCCTGTGTCTACAGATGAGAGTGAAAGTAGCTTGCCCAAAATCGATGAATCAGCCATGGGATTTGTGTTGGGATCTGAATGCTTGTCTGTCTGGCTCCAGGTCACTAACTACAATGTGTCTGACGCTGGACCAGAGGTTTCAACAGCTACGATTCCATGCTAAACATGATCCTCAGAGCAGGAGGAAGCAATGCTGCCTACTCTCAACAGCCCTTCTGACAGAGGGGGAAGCAGGCCCAGCGAGGCTGAGGTTGGGCTCAAATTCACATAGAAGGTTGTAGAGTGAGATTTCACACTGAAACTGGTTTGTGGGGGATTCCTGAGATGACTGATTCTCCTGGGAGTTCCGTCACATTAAGGGACTTTAAAGTAGGCCTCCAGGATTTTGTTGAACTCTGGCTGGAAAGTGATTTCTTTCCAAAGCTGAGCATATTGCAGCCGAAAGCAGCCGAGTCATGTTCGTTATTGCTGTGTGTGGAAAAATTCAGTTTATTCCTCAACCAGTCTGACCAGTTTCAGGCTGGAGTTTTAAGATGTCTCTGTGGACCAACTCCCTGAGAATCAAGGCTGGGACATGCCTAGGGGCCTGTGGCTGTCACGTGTCCGGCAAGGCACCAGGCAGGCCTCCTACTGGCTCCCGGTGCGCACAGGTGAGGGAGGCACTTAGAGTTTCTGTTTATTGCCAGTGTGCCAGGCACTGGGCTACTCTGTTCACACCGTTTATCTCACTGAATTCTTACAGCCAGCCTGGGAAGCAAGTGTTTCACCGCTTGATAGTTGAAGGAAAAGCTTGAGTTATGCATTTACTCCTTCCAGCAATTACTTCCTGTGCACTGACTGTGTGCCATGCAGTAGGCAAAGTCTGGTCCTTACCTTTATGGAGAAGATAAGTGTAAGAAGGAAACAGCTATGTATAATATGTCAAAATACATCCTACCATCATGTATATCTAAAAACAACAAAAAAAATTAAAGAAAAAGAATCAGCTCCATAATGGAGAAACCACTGCTTAGAACAATTGTTTCAGAGACACTGAAGATTCAGATTCAGACGGAGTTATTAGGGGACATTTGAGCTGAGACTTGCAGGATGAGTACTGGCCAGTCTCAGGACCTTTGCTCTTGCTTTGCCCACTGTTACAATGCTCTTGCTTCCAAGAAGAAGAATCACAGTGCAAAAGCCTGGGCCCAAGTTCTGCTTCTGCCTGTGTGGCTTTGGACAATTCCCCTTTTTCCTCTTCTGTAGATTGATGGGTTAATCTAGACAGATCTCTCAGCACTCCTGCAGTCCAGCTACCAGGATGCAGTGAACTTTTCCTCCTTACCAACAGAAAATAGGTTGGTTCTCATTATAAAAAGTGATTTTGGAAAATTGGTACATGGAGAAAAGTTTCAATGAGAAGTCAGCCAAAATAAGGATCTGTGATTTTGTTTCTCAGTCTTCCAGTGCCTAATCTGTACTCACCCCCTGGAGTAGTGGTAGGAATTGTTATTGTAATGGGAATAATAATAATCATATTGTGGTGCCCCCATTACCTATGGTTTTGCTTTATATAGTTTCAGTTACCTATGATCAGTTGTGATCTAAAAATATGAAATGAAAACTCCAAAATATACAATTCATAAGTTTTAAATTGCATGCTGTTCTCAGCATTATAAAACTTTAAGCCCTCCTGCTCTGTCCTATCCAGGACATGAGTCACCTGTGTATCCATACTGTATATACTACCTGCCTGTTAATCCTTTCATACCTGCCCCAGTTATCAGATCAACTATGCTATACATAAGACTCAGTACTATCTACAGTAAGCACCCACTGGGGGCCTTGTATTCCCTAGGGACAATGGGGACAGCTATCACAACAAAGATGTCATCATCAACAAAACAGTTAGCATTTATCTAGCTCTTAAGTTAATCAGGCATTCTTGTAGACCATTTGTGAGGATGATCTTATTTAATCTTCACAATAACTCAAAACTATTATCATCCTCACTATACACAAGGAAGCAGAATTGTGGAGACGCTAACTAACCTGCTTAAGACCCCATGGTTAGGAAGTGGGGCAAACAGGGAACATTAGGTGTTCAGTAAGTATTTATTCATGTTAAGTCCTTCTCCTGGGTTAATGGTGACAGAAAGTTACTGAGCAGAGCAGTCTGGTCATAACCCAAGACTAAGGAATGGCCTTGAAAGTTGTTTTTCTCCCAAATAATTATATCACATTTGTTTTCATTTCAGCAATGATACATTTTCACAGGTCAAAGTACTGACAATCCAGAGAAGCACAGAGAAAGAAAGGAAGGTCCCCATAACCCACCACTCACTGTATTGTCAATATTTGGTTTCTCTCCCAGTCTCTTTACAGTAATTTTGTGTAAATGGTTGAACTCAGGCTCCATATGCAATTTAGTCCAGAACTTTCACCTGGTGCTGTACCATAAGCATTTCTCATATTATTGTATGATCTTTATAAACACCTTTTAATGACTGATGCACTCTTTTACAGGTGAATCATCCAGTATTTATAAAGTGAGAATTTACTCTTATAAGCATATTAATTTTCCCTGGGAGGGATAAAGCAGCCCAGAGTGGGAGAAAAGAGCCCTAGGTTTCAGTGCCTGGTTCTACCACCTACTGGCTGAGTGACCTTGGAGGAGCCACTTCAAGCTGCTAACCCTCATTTTTAAATTGAGAATAGTATCACAACAATAAAATACCTGCTTCCTACAGTTAATGTGAGACCAAGCCGGTCGATTTACGCTAAAGCATTTTTAAAGTGTACCCAGTGAGGGAAAGATTTGCTCTGAATAAAACGTCATCCTGTTTTGTTCTGAAAAATGATTCTTTTCAGAATGCCGAAGTAGGCTCAAATTTAATCAAGGTGGCATCTACGACAGCAACAGCCCTGAAGGAGAAAGATGACCAAGTCTACTGCCAGCCAGAAGCGCTTTACGAAGGTAACAGGCGCCCTCCGTGCCTGTATCTGGGGGCGGGGGAGGGGGTGTCGGGCTCAGGGTCTGGGGACTCTCCTGGCAACACTTGAATTTGCCTGGCTGCATAAGAATCTGCTTCTGTAAATGGCCTTCTGCAGACCCTTGAACCTGCTCTGTGAGGGACTTTTGCTTCTTGGAACATAAAGAAATGAAGATGTAAATCTTAGACCCAGGCCTGCTTTGGGGCCAGCCGTGGGCAGCTTATTAAATATGTGAGCGGCCATCCTTCTCATGCTCACCTTGGCCTGTCCCTTGGAAGTGTCACAGTTGCTCATCTGGGGGTTGGACGGATATCTCCTTCCCATCCCAGTGGTCCATTGTCCTTAGTCCCTGCTGAGCCTGCAGGAGCCACGAAGGCCTTGGGTCCTTTCAGGAGGCCTTCAGGGGGTGAGAGGGTCACCTCGGCAGCCCCTATTCCTGGACCTTACCTCCTCACCAGCAGTTGGCTTCAACACCTGGAGTATGTCACAAGAAAATACTTTCCCTTCAGCATTCAGACTTAGAAATTCAGCTTGACCCATGGGAATACCTAAAGATATGCACATCTGCATGGAATTTTTTGGATTATTAAAGCAATAGACATAATGAAATTTTCACATAATGAATCTACAATATAAAATATAAATTACAAGACAGTTCTAACCCCAGCAGTACTTTTAAACTTTTTCTCTTCATTTGTAACATTATTAAGATGATTCTATAATGAGCCTTTAATTTTGTGATATGGATACTTGCCCATGTCATTAAAATCTTCTATAAACATCATTTTTACATATTATTATAATAGAATTCATCAGATATTTTTTGTATTGCCCATTGAAACTTCTTACTCTGCTTCCAAAATTTATCTTCACACCCCCACATGTGTGTGTGCACACATACACACAAGTACTTTTTAAAAATATTTTTTATTTAGTTGTTGATGGACCTTTATTTATTTATATGTGGTGCTGAGAATCAAACCCAGTGTCTCATACATGCTAGGCAAGCACTTTGAGCCACAACCCCAGCCCCTATATACATACAAGTACTTTTTTAAAAAGAGCTTTAAAAATTTGCAGTAGCCTCTGATTTTAATCATGCAATTCTCTTTGATTTCTATCTTGGATAATTAAAGATGCTTACACACTTAAACCCTGGTCTATGATACCTTACTCCTGAAACTTCTAATAGAGCCAGGGTCATTATCAGAGGTTCCCTCCCCTGCATTTGGCTGCCTTTGATCCAATCTGGAGTCTGAATCAAGGTTGGGAATCCTGCTTGGGAACTTTTTCTGTGGAAAGGAGGCCCAGCCTGGAAGGAAGGGTGGATATTCCCCACTCAGGTGACAGGGGCTTACTGTTGCCTCCTTTCTCTCCAGGCTTAGAGCTCCCTCGGATCAATTATGCTCACAACGGAAAGCAATACCGCTATGTCTTTGCTGCTGAGGTTCAGTGGAGCCCAATCCCAACCAAGGTACTGACCCCTGTGTGGCTGCAGAGTGGTTTTCTAGGATGATCTCATCTGTCTGCAAAGCTGAATTCAAGGTTTTGGAGATTGTGTGGATGTTGATCAGGAAAGGAGATCAGTTTGGGAAGATAAATCCAAAGTAATGATGAACCATCCAAGAGAGCGAGCCATACCTCGTGGGCTGCAGCTCAAGAAGCCCTGGTTGGAGCTCAGGCAGGGACTTGAGTCCACATGTATTTGTCGAGCACCAACTATGTGCTGCCATGTGGTAGGCAAAGAGGACAAGGAAGTCAGCAGGGGTGTCCCAACCCCTGCCCTCAGGAACTAGCTCACCCTCTAGAGCAGAGAGGGTGTGACTAGAATTTGGAGGATTTATTTTGTTTTTTAAATTAGTGTTTGTCAATCTTATTATGTCTGGGCACTGTACAAAGTGATACACAGGCTTCACTTTTCTTTGACATCTTCAATTATTAATAATTTTGTGTTTTAAAATAATGCAAACAGGGTAGAAATATACAAAGCCAAAAATTAAAGTTCCCAAACACACATACAGACACCCTAAGCCACTCCCCACTAATCCTACACCCTAAAGGGAGTAGGCCTATGAGAATTTAAGAGAGGCCCAGGGACTTTTTTCTTTTTTGCACGAAGCTGGATTGAACCCAGGATCTTGTGCATGCTGGGCAAGCGCTGTACCACTGAGCTATCCCTCTGCCCAGGGTCTTTCATCTTTAAAGCAAGAAGGAATCACATGATATTCTAGCTTTGGCATTGAACACATTAGTTTATTTAACATATAAAATTGCAATGTAGTACCAAATACTAGATCAATTCAGGAGTTTTCTGAGAATTCCTTGTCACTGTTGGCCACGTTGTACCTGGGGAACCCGAGTTTGAAGCCAGAGGAGGAATTTCAGTTCTTTCCTTTTCATTGCTGTGCTGACCAGAGGCAGATGTCATTTGGAGGTGATGTCAAAGTCTAGATGTGAGGGCTTAATCTCCCCCCGTGGGCCTCCGTACCTACCTGTTCCCAGGAAATTAGCATGTCCTTGAACAGATAACTCACACGTTCCCCTCTTTGGATGTACAGATTCTAAAATATGACATTCTTACCAAGTCGACCTTAAAATGGAGCGAAAAATGTTGCTGGCCTGCAGAACCCCTATTTGTGCCTGCTCCAGGTGCCAAGGACGAGGATGATGGTAAGACTGACCGCTGCATGCTGCAGCAATCACCCCTGAAACAGAAATGTTGTCTAGGGGCATCATGTCCTCCAGGTCACACAGCTAGGGGAGGTCTGCTCTGAGCTCTGTCTGAGCCCAAGACCCTCTTGCTTCTGACACCAATTGTAAGTTCAGGGCCCTCCAGACCACCTGTTCAGGAGGACTCACAGAACTCACGGGAGGCTGCTGTTCTTATTGGTTGGGGTTTCACTGCAGTCAAAAGACACAGGTTAAAATCAGCAAAGCAAAGAGACCCGAAGGACTGGGTGCAGGAGCGGCCCGGCGGGGAGGTTGCGCTTATCTTCTCCCAGTGTAGTCTCAGCGCTGACTTCTCCCAGTGACCTTACTTGACAGTACACACCAGGTACTGCCAGCTGTGGGAGCTCAGCTGAGCCTTGGTGTCCAGAGTCTTGCTGGGCCACTTATGTGGCCAAACTTTAGTCGTCAGCCCTCAGAGGTTAAACTGACAGCACATGGTCCAAGGTCCACCATAAACCACACTGTGAGGATAGACTCCCTGGAGGGTCCGAGGCCCCCAGGTGAACCAACTGTTAGGACATTCCAAGGACTTAGAGGGGACCTCCCAAGGACAAAGGCTAGTCCTCTCTTTGGCAAGGTTAAAGTCCATAATAAACAAAGCCATGTTCTTCTTACCAAGTGACACTGAATTCTCCCAGGGTGTGGAATTCATTGCAATGGTTGGATCCAAATTTCTAACTACAAACATGTGACTTTTTCACAGAGCACATAGAAAGTGTATGTTTGTGCCCATCTCCCTTTTCTAGGTTTCCACATGACCAAAGCATCCTCTCCTTCCACTCTGCCCTTGCCTCAGAAACGCCCTGCCCACAGCCGGGGGGTGCTGAGGAGAACGGGTTGGGTCACCAGCTGGCAAGGCGTAATGGGGCTGCCCACACTGCAGGGGAGGGCAGGCGGCCCCGGGAGCCTGCCAGCTTCTTCCCTCAGGTGCGGAGGGAGTGACTTTCTGTCTGGCCTTGTCTTCCTACTGATTGTGGCGTGGCACGCCAGCCAAAACTCCATGCCACTGTCATCTCCCAGGTGGAGGACTGTTGGCATCAACTCCAGCTGAGTTTGGCCTCCCACTCAGCGGGGCACTTGGTTCCTGTGTGTTCTCTTGGTCCCTAGGAAGAGAGTCACTGTCTTCATAGGACCAAGGAAGGCTCAGGGAGTGAGATAACTTGCCCAAGGTCACACGCACCCTATGTACAGATCTGGGATCCGAATACAGGCCAATCTGACTTCTCCTGTGTTCAACTGCTCTACATCCTGGGAGCCTGGGGGGGGGGGGGCTCTCACTTCCCCTGAAAGTGTGTGGACTCATTAGCCTCTGTCTATCCCTTGAGAGTGGCTGCTGAGTAAGCCTTGGGGTGTTTCCATTCTACAGAGGGCAAGCTGAGACTACAGTTGGCTGCATGCACAAAAGATGAACTGGACTTGTTCGAACACCAGTGGTTTGTGACAAGTCCAAGTTTAGCTGAGTGACACATAGTAGCCAAAGTGCATCCCTGGAGTGGACTCTGTGTCGTCTGAATTTTTAAGCAGTAGGAAAATAGCCATTCCTAAGTACTTGCAAAAATTTACAAAGCGCTTTCATACCCCACCCTGCAAGAGATCCTCTCAACAACCCTGTGAGACTAGGGAGGGTTATCCTTACTGTACAGATGAAGAGCCTGAGGTTCAGAGAGGTAAAGGGACTGATCCAACCAGTGCTAGAATCAGTTCTTCTGATTTCTGGTTCCCAGGCTTCTCTTCTGCTCACATAGAATATCAAAATCTCTTTCCTCCTATTTGGATTAGATAAGTAAGTTTAAAGCGAACAGGGAGAGATGGTTGAGAAATCAGTACCCCAGCCAGAGGGTGTTCAAGGCTTCACTTTTTAAAAGTATCTCTTTTTTAGGGCTGGGCGCAGCTCAGTGGTAGAGTGCTCCCCTAGCACGCGTGTGACCCTGGGCTCCAGCCCCAGCACCTGAAGTCAAAGAAAGCAAGCACTGTTTATTTTTGTTTTTCCCAAAGGAATTATCTTATCTGCCATTGTTTCTACTGATCCTCAAAAGCCGCCTTTTCTGCTTATTCTGGATGCCAAAAATTTTACGGAACTGGCTCGCGCCTCAGTTGCCGTGGAGATGCACCTGGACCTCCACGGGTTATTCATCCCTGGCACGGACGGGGGCACCAGGAGCCAGACCCCAGCAGAGACCCAGGCGGACGAGGCTGCAGACTGCCAGGCAGCATCACAGGCCTGACGGCGCTGGTGGGACAGCTCTGCAGCAGGACCTGGGCCCGGCCTGCCGCCTTTCTGGGGGAACGGGGCCTGCGTCTCACTCTGCACTTGCTCTTTCTGTGGACACTGACAAAATGGGGAAGGAGCCCGTCAGTGTCTGCACTTGGATTTTGTCTGGAGAAGCCTTGTTGAGAGTCAAATGCGCATTGGTTGCTCTAGCACTGTTAAGGAAGCCCCTTTCCTTTTTTTTTTTTAAATGAAGACCTTGACCATGAATCAGAAATTGTTTTAAATCACATTGCATTGTCATCATTCTTACAAAGAGAAACCACCAACACGGTGGAGAAGAGAGATAAGTACGTGTCCTTGCCCCCACCCCACCTCCTTCTCTCCTAATGGACTGAACTGTGGGCAAGGAGTTCTGGCTTTCCCAGCCACACCCCGAGATGAGTGACGTGGCCCGGAAGGCACGCTGCTATGTGGGCATTCCCTGTGCGATGTGGTAGGATATAAAAAGAATAAAAACTTCAAAGTCTGCTCAGACCTTGTTTTATTTTTACATGGCTTCTTCCTCTGAAGTTCTGCTAAGGTAATAAATCAAAGTTGTAGAACTTGTGGTTCAGAGCCACCAAGATGCCTCATGGTACAATCAATGGGACTAACAGGTCAGTGGGACCCCGCCTCCAGGGCAATGGTCTGCCTGCTGGACAATGACCTGATGAACCATGGCAGAGGGACTAGAATCCAGGAGGGAGGACCAAGGCCAGTGCTGGCGTGAAGAGCGTCTGTCCGTGTCTGAAAACCAGAGCAGGGAGTCGCCCGTGTCTGAGGTTCTCCAAGCTGCACGTGCTGCCAGGATAGACCAGGTGGGTGGGGCAGAGTGGCAGGAGCCGAGGGTCCCCATGCAAGGTGGCAATGGGAATGCAGGAAGTTGGGAGCAAGCCCAGAGGGACTCTAAACAGCTACTGGAAGCCCCGTGTGCATTGGAGTCTCACCCTTATGCCAGTGGGCGCCTGCAGCATGGGACCAGGACAGCAGGGGGTTCACACTCTTGTGCTGAATCCAAATCCCATTCAGTCTTCGATGGAGATTCTGTAATGTGCCTCAAGGGTGGGAATACTCTGGTGCAGGTCATGAAACACCCCAGGAGGGTACCTGTCCAGGATGACTGTGGCTTTTTCCCAACAATCACCATGAAACAATATTTGGCTTCCAAACTGTAGTCTCCATTCAGCCTCAGAGTTATTATTGTTATTATTATTATTATTTGTACTGGGGATTTAACTCGGGGACACTATACCACTTAGTTACCACCCTAGTCATCTTTATTTTTTATTTTGAGACAGGGTTTCACTAAGTTGCTTAGGGACTTGCTAAGTTACTGAGGCGGATTTTTTAAAAATATTTATTTATTTATTTATTTAGATTTTTAGATGGACACATATCTTTTTATTTTTTTTAGTGTGGTGCTGAGGATCAAACCAAGTGCCTCATGCATGCTAGGTAAGCGCTCTACCACCGAGCCACGACCTCAGCCCCCTGAGGCGGTTCTTGAACTTGGGATCCTCCTGTCTCAGCCTCCCAAGTTTCTGGGGTTACAGGCATGTGTCACCATGCCCTGCAGTTATGTTTTTTAAATTGCAATTTTTATGGAGATAAATACATGTTGGTGCAATTCTAAGAAGTAGTATAGTTTACTCCAAGGCCAACTTTACCCACTTTTCCCCAGAGGTAACATTTTGCAAAACTCTAGAGTACGTCATAACCAGGCCATTGGCATTGACACCACCCACAAATCTTATTTAGATTCTCCCACTTGAACTTATTTGTGTGTGGTTTAGTCCTAGACAATTTTATTGCCTGCATAAAATTGGTAGGTTCCTGAATTCACCATTCAAGCCACTGAATAGTCCATCAGCACTAGGGTCCCTCGAGGTGCTTCCTCATCACCACACCTGCCTCCCGCTAGCTCCCACCCCCATCCCTAACCCCTGGCAACCACCATTTGTAAAATGCTGTCATCTTGGAAGTCTGATATAAATGGACTTGTACAGCATTAACCCTCCAGGATGGCTTTCCTCACAGAGCAGAGTATCTTGGAGAGTCATCAATGGTGTGCAGTCACCCGGGTTGTTATGCGGTGGGACGTTCTATTCCCTGATTTATCCTGGCCTCAGAAGCACTGCCTGTGTCACGCGGCACCAATAGCACTGGTTGGATAAAGTAGCTAACCCAGCTTTGCACACACCAACCAGAGAAAGCTTCACTGAAGGGCTCCTGGGGGCTGGGAGGATGGTCCACGGAGGACCAGAGACAGCACACAGGACTCCACACGAAGGCTCCTCTCTCTGTCCCTGACCTCCTGTCTCCTCCCTGCTGACCTCAGCGTCCACCTAGCCCTCGGTTTACACGCCCCCTCCAGGAGCACGCACACCTCTAAGGGGCAGGACAGACACTCATTCACCTTCCTCAGAGGCTCCTGTGGGGCTCTTGGAAGCTCAGTCTTGATAAGATGGGCTGTGGCCTGAGGAAATCCGAGCAAGGCCTGCGCTGGGTGGCAGGAATGGAAAAGAGCTGGCCAGCCGAGCATCTCTTGCTACTCATTCTTCCGCTTTCCGTACTTGAAAGGAGGCTGGAATGTAGGAATGCCTCCGCCTCTTCTACTTGATTCCGATCGCCAAACAGCACCCAGACCTGATCTTGAGAAAGGGTGCAGGAAGAAAACTAGGTCTGTGGTTTGTTTACCTTATTTAAGAGGACAGGTGGATACCAGAGTCATGAGGAAGGCTGACGCACCATATCTGCCTTTCTCAGTTTCAAAAACACCCAAGGTTGGTGGCAGGGTGTTTGATTTGCAGGGCTCCTGGGCTGCACTGCATTTCGCACAGGGGCCAGGGGGGTTAGCTCAAGCCTCTGCAAGCATGATGGTGCAGGCTGTGTGCTCCTTTCCTGAGGGAATCACAAACAGGCTGTCTTATCCTCCAAGTCTACCACGTCATACTTCATGTGGGTGTAAAGGTGACCAGGAAGTTCTGAAAAAAAATCACTCTGGGTTTGTTTACTGCTTTGATCAAGCCATGGTATTTCCCAAGTGCTCTGAGACCTACGTGTTGACCACACAGGAGGCCCTCACAGGCTTGCTGACCTGCTAACTTTTCCACAAAAGGTTTCCCTAATATGATGCCAAATTGACTCATGAAAATTCAAATTATATTTGAGGTACATTTGCTGTGTTTGTTCACACTTGTTCCCGGTGTTGTAGGGACAGATGAGGCAAGGCACTGAAGACAGCAGGAAACAGTTTTATTTGGCTGCAGCCAGGCTCAGAGGGCATAGCTTTTGCTGTAATCAATCAATCCCCTGAACCCTGACTTTAGGTAGTTTCAGAGTTTTATACCCAGCTTGTAAGGGGAGGGGCTCAGAGGTTCACAGGCTGCAGAAGTTCACATAAAAGCAGCTTTTTCTTTCCCTGTTCTGGGCAAGTTAACTCTTCAAGGACAACACCTGAGAAGGGGAGAGCTTCTTCTCCCCTTTCTTTCCTCCCTGTTACCATGGAGCCCACTTTGTAACTTATCTTAAAAATGTAGACATCTCTGTGAAGCCCAGCTCAAGGCCAGAGGCCTTGTTTGTTCATTTCTACAAACTACTCTATTGGATACATGTTTGTGAGAAACTCATAAGGGGGTGTCCAGCACCTGGAGTGCTGGTATCTTCCAGGCCAGTGGCCCAGTAAAACAGGGCAACATGAAAATAGGAAGTTTATCTGCATTGAACTCTTTTTCAGAGACTCTTTTGCTGACAGTCCCAAAATCAGCCGTGGTGAGGATTTTTGGAGAAGCCCAGTTAAGACTTTTCTGTGGAGAAAGGCAGTGCCACTTCCCCGGCACAGAACTGACTCCTTTCAAAAGACTGCAGGCCCAGGATAAGTGTAAACACCTTTGATGGCTTCTTAAGCCATGGAAGATTGTTCAGGTGGTTCTTAAATGGTCAGGAGAAGTCTTTCCTGTGGTGAATCAGGGTGTGCGGACCAAAAAGTCATCTCCATCATCCTCAGTGTCCAACGATGATGAGACGTGGCCTCAACACTTCAGCCTCCTCCTGCAAGTTCAGACTCAGAGACCAGGTACAGAAGCAGGCAGGGCCCAGCCCCAGCAAAGAGGCAGGTATTTGCTTGGACACAGGAGCAAGGAGAGGTGCGGGGGGCTATGTTGGGGCAGGCTGGGGACATGGTTTGTTGGTGCTGGTGATCAGGAAAGGCTTCCTGCAGCTTCTGCAGGGGGCTGCTCCCTGCAGGCAGAGGGTGCAGCTGAGGCCTGGAGTGGGTGTGGGCTGGCTGAACAAAGCAGGTGTCCTGTGAATTCCCCAAGAAAGAGCCGTGGAGAAAAGTGGGAGACCTAGGGGAGCGTTTTCTCTCTGATTGTAAAGCTCATAATGTTCACTGCAGAGCACCTGCTAAGTTAAAGAAAGAGTCGGAAAACTCACCCCAAGTCCCACCACCCAGAGAAGGCTGTTGATGTCCTTCTGGGGTGTGGTTCTAGGCAGTCTGTGTGTCGGTGTTCCGTTTATAGACTCCGCACCAGTTTGTAACCGGCCTTTTCCACTTGACCTTGATGCGGGCATTTCCCAGGTTGTTACCTTCTTGGTGGCGTAATGTCCACCACCCCATTCACTATCAGACACCTCGGATGTTTCCAGGTTTTCACTATATAAACAATGCCAGGATGAGTCACCTTCTGCCTCAATTCTAGGGTTCACAGCCCCACTGTATGGAGGGGCGATTATTGTTGTTTTCCTTGACTAGATTTCCACCTTGGGATTTCTGAGCCAAAGAGTGGAAGAGCAAGATTGGGGGTATTTTCTTGACAGACCAAAGGAGACAGGGACCGTGCCTGGGGAGGCTTTCTTGGATATCAGCAGCTCCAATGGCCAAGGTGACTGAGGCTGAGAAACACGTTTCCCTGTAATGGAAACAAATGGATCTGAGGTAAGAGAACCGCAGTCCAGACCCTTCTTCGGGCCTTTCCGGCCTTTCCTCCCTGCAGCGCTCCACGCAGCGCCAGGCTCTTTCTCAGGCTTACGTCCCCAGGGTCCTTCACTCTGTGGGGTGTGCTGGCACAGGGCTGGGGAAAACCAGCATCGCTGCTGCCCCAGGGCACACAGCAGAGTGCACAGCGACCCAGCCCAGCACAGCAGCCCAGCCTGTGGGACGGGGCCCTTCAGAGAGCAGCCATGCTGCCTGGGGCCAGCTCACGCGCAAGGATGACAGCAGGTGGCCTGGTGCAGTGGGGCTCCGGGCCCAGAGTCAGCGAGAAGGTGATAAACTTGGGAAACCCCAACCGTGGGTAGACGGTGGGCCAGAGCCACAGAATTTCAGGCAGACCCCAATGTATCTGTGCTCGGGTGAGAAACGGAATTGGCATGAACCCAAGAAGAAGAGAAGGCTCCATTGGGAGCTTCAAGGACAACCAAAGAGCAATT